GACAAGGAAAGCAGATATATCGTCCTCCATAATTTTACGAATTCCAGGTCCGTAGCTCATACCCGTCGGGGACATTATTAACGATAAACAACGGGAAAATTATATCTCGGTGAAAGAGGACACGGTGGGAAATAAAGAACGATAAATTTGGCAGGTGATCGTGCACGCGTGGCGCTCACCCCCAGCTGCGAAGATTAAAGGGGCATTCGGTAAAAATATAAATTTGATAATAGAACATTTTATCGGGAATTCGAGCGAATAATTTTAATTTTCTCCGTCTGCTCCCCTGCAGCGCGAAATATTTAAAAGGATTATCCGTTATGAATGGTTAATGGCCCGGAGGGGATTTTTCAGTCCACGCAACATAAAGCGTTTCCAGTTTTCGGCCGACGGTAATTCACAATGAATCTCGCCGGAGCATATTTAACGGCGCGCTCGCGGAATTTATAGGAGGGCTTCGAAGCACGAATAAATTTCAAACGACTTCGAGCGGAAGCGAACGAGGCCGAACGCGGTCTTGAAATCTCCAAGAACAAGCAATGTCCGACGATAAAAATGCACGGATGTTTATGGCAGCGATTTTATGCGCGCAAGATGATGCACTCGATGTCTAATAAACAACGGAAAATAACGCGAGCGACGTCCGCGATGGATAAAGCAAATCAACACCTCCCACTCTCTCTCTTTGTTTCTCTTTGTCTCTCTCGAGTTTCCGCACCTGCTCCCACCTTTCACCTACAAACGCTCCTATCCTCGTTCATGAATTCTTTCATGCCTCATCGGCATTCGACGTTCCACCTCCGAATGCCTGCCGACTCGCGATATTTGCGCCTCCCGTTAACACTCATATTCGCATAAAATTAAACGCGAGGTCATTAACCACCGAGGAAATTCCTTGGAGGTGTACATGCTTCCTCGAAAGAATATAACGAGGTACTCCGAGCACGCTCGAGTGCCATGGAAAGCGACAACCTCGAGGGTTTAAACCACTAAATGCGTTTTTATCCCTCGTGACCCTCTCGAGGTCTAAACCAACCGATCTTCTTAAAAGTAAAAACACTGTTCGTACAGCCATTAGGAGAATATTTCAGTGTTCCCGAAGAATAGTCGTTCGATGCACTGTTATTTTTGGGGAACACAGGTGGCTCCGTTCGTAGATCTTTGGCGTAGATCCACGGCGAAACGTACGCGACTCGAAACCGCTAAAAACATGCGCACGAGTGTTTTTGTATCGACGTCGGCAATTAATTCGATCCGCGAACGCGCGTGCATTCGCATACATAATTTGGACACGATGCATCGAAATCACCGTAGGATTAATCGAGACGCGTATTGTCAGGGACAGGGCGTTGTCTGCGCGCGACGTGTCCGCGATCGATGGCGCGTAGATCGATGTATCCGGCCGAGCTTACCAGGATTCTGTAAGTCGCGAGCGTTTTCCGGATACGGGGCGAATCGAAGGCATGCAAACGCGGGTACCAGTGTGCATCCACGCGCACCGATTCGTAAGGGCGTGTATGCATGATTTACAAAATATCGACGTTCGCCGATAGCCGAACGAGCGCTGCCCCGATGCATGTAAATACACTCGCGCGAGTGGCTCTCGCAGAGCTTTACGGGCGAAATACCACGAAACAACCGAAAGCAAACTTTACACTCGGTTGAGAATCGTTTCTCCGCTTTTACCGCAACCCGTTCGATGCCGTTACAAAATCGTATTTTACACGCTCGACGTACGATTCGCTTTCCTTTCTCCGTGCGTCGTTCATTTTACCGTTCGTGCGCAAACCAATCATATGTCTGTTCAATCGATTATTTAAGCACCCTTTTCGGAATGCAACGAGCGATCCTCGAAGGACCGAGGGTTAAATTATCGTATCTACCTCTAAATTAAAGCAGCAATCATTGTCCAGGTGAAATTTGCGAAGCACGAGCGGCTCTTGTCTCGGCTGTGCGCGATACCCAATCTTCCGAAGCTCGAAATCATCTCGCCGACAACGGTGCAGGCTCGCGCGTGCGTTACAGATACCGTGCGGGAATCACAGCAGAATTAATCGAGTCATAATTCGTCGAGGGTTGGTGTATCTTCGTCTGTGCGTGCGCGATACAGGTGTAGAGACATATTCGGGCAGATGAGCATAGCTGCCCGTAGCCAGTCCCATCGATATGTACGCGTGCATAGGCGCGTACGTGCAGAAATGCATACGCGCGTGCACGGCCGACGCATACGCGCGTGCCATCGCATACGTACACGAGCTTGGCACGTGTTACCCGGCTCCTCGATCACGGAAATTTACGAGCAGAAGGTGCTCGATGCAATCCGCGGTCGAATACGACGATCGAGCCCCCCAACGTTTTATATCGTCCGGGAATTTTCACGCGAATTCGATCCACACGTACCATATCCACCCCCGCGGATTACCTTCCAAGATACAATCCTCGTTGGTACGGAAATTAGGGACCTTTGACCTTAACTTTTAAAGAAAGAAACGGTTCGAAAAGGATTCTCAAAAGTATCGTCGTTTTATTTTCGATCGTCGCTCGTACGTTTCCCCGGCGTGGGAAATTGTTTTTGTCGTTTGATAACCTTCCGTTATTTCCTGACCGGTCAGATTCAATGTGGGACACGGACGCTATTGTGCCAATAATCTGCTAACCACCGGCGTTCGCGTGTCAAAGTGGTATTAAAAAGAATAATACGAGGCGTCGAGGCCGTAGAACAAGTGGCTCGCCATAACTTTCGCGATAATCCTTTTTATGAAAACTGTCAGGCTTTCAATTCGTTCGCAGCAATGAAGCACGATATATGCTCGTAAAATAAATTTCCATTTTCGAGCGTTCTAGCTTTGACGGCGATTCGTAAATCGTGTAATTAATTCGAGCGACGTCGAAAAAGGAGATCGACCCGGATTTCGTTCGTTCTACGGTAGGTGTTACAAAAAAAAAGCGAAGATAAAATGAGCAGAAGAATAGCAAAAAGTTATCGTAACGTTCGGCGTTGAAAGCGCTTTCTTTTATTAATGCAACGTTATTAGTAATTCTCTGGCTAGGCTGTATTAGAGTTCGTTCGTTCGTTACGTCCCGCGGGCAAAGCAAAGAGAACCTCTTATTAATCTGTCCCATTAACGCTAGCTCCCCCGCGTTCAGCTTTGAATGTCGCCTTTATACGCCGGTACGAGATTTTCGTTGAGTCCATACGGCGAGTCCGCCGTGGAAAAGACGAAAATTCAACGGGACGCGCGAATGGACGGAATTCTAACAAATTCCACCGAAAATTGGAATTTCGTCTCGCGCTGTTAAGGATCGTACAAGTCGAGCGTCGACCGAACGAACAGAGACGGCCGGAAATTAATTTACACGGTCCTTGAGACGCGAAAAGTAAAAAGAACGACGCAGGGCCGAAACCTCGTTAAGGGCGAGTCTCGCGTTCTCTCTTCGGCTCTGGGGATGTACTAGCACGCGTGCTACAATTTATTGCATCTTTCTTGCGCGTTAAAGCGCACTATGAACTGCATACCTAATGCTTGGTTCCCGAGCTCGGCTGAATCATAAATCGTACGTCCCTCTTCGTTCCTCCTTCGCCCTCTTTCCCGGTTTCTTACGCGAAGTCGTGTCCCGAGATCGTGCACCTTGAAGAGCAACGAGACCCGTACGTACTACCCTCGTCGACAATAATTTCTCTTATTTTAGAGTCCCTCCTTTGAGTTCGCGAAAACTTCACGAGGCCGATAAATCAGGCCCAGGCAAGATTTAATTTAATTTACTTTCGCGTAGGCAAGAAATCAGTGGTTCTTTAAATATCCTTTACGAAACGTTTCTTTCCAAGCAACGTCCTATCGGTTTCCCGAGAGTCGAAATCGTAGGAGCCAGGGTTATCTTGGAGCAACCTTTCGCAGTTACTAATTACATTTTCCACGCAACAAAGTTCACTTTGGATAAAACGAGTTTTAGTAACTCGAAGCAGCATCGGTATAGATTTTACATAATTACCGAGGCGGAGGCGCGGCGTCGTTGAATTCCGCGCTGCGGCGAAGCGAACCGTGCAACTATTTTCTATCGCATCCGCGGTTCCCTGCAGCCTATTTACACGCGCTTTGATGAAAACCGTCCGCTGACGGGGTTCGCGAAGTTTAAATCGCGGCGACGGTGGATCAACGCCGGCCGCAGAGCCGGAAATGGGAGAAACTACCGACAAAACGATGAAACGGGAAAAGTGGTTCGCGCGTAATGCCGGTGTATACGCGATCGAGATAAAGAGCAAACGCGACGCGTCTCGGTTAATTCAAACTTGTAATTACTGGAAGAACCGCTGACTCGGCACGCGAAACACAATGCACCCATGGAAACGGCGAATGTAATTATTGGTTTGCTGTCGGTCGTATTTTTCCGGCGAAGCTTATCGGGGGATAGAATTAAAACGGGACCGTTAACGGCGTGACGTCGGCGAATTCGATTCGCGAAAACACAGTATCCGATCGACGAGCCTGATATCGACTTTGTCGCGTTTTAAACTCCTCGCGAGGGAAAAAACTCTGACTTTGATTCCGTGGTTTTTTCAAACATTATCAACGCGCCCACGACTCGAGCAGAAATTTTATCCGCGATAACGTAAGTGGAAACGAAAACTAGTATTAGCAACTGTAATTGAGATAGCGGTGTCGGGGCAGGCTATTGCATCTATCATTCGCGCGTCGCCGTGTAATTAAGTTAACGTCGAACCGGTGGACCGTGCCGAATCTTACGGTGTAATTTACCGAGCAAGGCGTCGGTGCGTTTAAAATATGGCTCACGAGGGAGAAAGCAGTCGAACGCGAGAAAGACCTTTCCTTCCCGCTTTACTCGTGGCATCGTGTGCAATTATCGGGCGCAAAAATGCTCCCGAACGCTATAATTTGCGGAACCGAAACGCGTCCCGATGACGGGTCCGCGACGACCGATCGACCGAGGCGCGGAACGCTTTATCAAGCGTCGAGGATGAAAGAAACGCAGGTATCACTCACCGCTTTCACGGAGTCGTAGTCCCCCTTCCTGAGAAGATCCATCAGCCTCTGTCGCTCCATTTCTTCCTTCGTCACGTACACCTTGTTCCCCCTGAACCGAGCATCCTGCACGTTCTCGTAATTGTCGCAAAGGACGTTGTGAAAGCCGATCGGCCTCTGCTGACCGACATGATCGACGATCTTCGCCGCGTCGACGACCACGTGCTCCGTCGACTCCGTCGGAAGGTCCTGCTCGAACTGAAGGGTCTTCACCAGCACTTCGTTCACCATCTCGACGCGATCCTCGATCTCCCGCGAGTTGGTTCTCTCGTTGTCGGTCACCTTGAGCTTCCCGGCGACGTCCGTGCCCGCGTCCCGAAACCTGGACTCGGTGTTCTCGACCTTGAACTTTGCAGCCTGCCTTTCACTCTCGAGCTCGTCCAGAGGGATCGTGGCCGTGGACAGATTGCTGCTCTCCCGCGTGTGACAGAATCGACTACCGTCGAGAGGGTTCGCGGAATCGTAGGGGATCTCAAAGTCCTCGAGGATCATGATCGGTTCCGCGACGTCTCGTTTTTCCTCCTGTTCGTTGCTCCCCGGCGAACCGGTCGCGACCGCTCGAGATTGCTGCTGGACGCTGCGAGGGGAGCAGGACGAGTGAAACGTGACGAACGTCCTGGCTGGCTCCATCCTGCTCTCCTGGGGGCTCCTCGGTCCGCCGTTCGGCAACGCTTGCTGGATATCCGTGTATCTGCGAACGGACGCCTCGCTCCTCTGATCGTCCTCCTCGATGGTCTCCAGATGCTCGTACCGCGTCTCCCCGATCCGTTCGTACACTTCCTCGTCGTCGTCCAGTTCCTGCCGGTCGCGTTCCGCTTCTCGGGACGGGGACTCGAGGTCGGGTCGAGCGGTGCCTCCCTCGCCGTAAGCGGAAACCTGCGAAGAAGGTCGGAGGATGGATTCGAGGTCATCCGCGTGAATCACCTGAGGCTGCAGACTCCGCTCGTATATCTTCTCCACGTGGTTCGGCGAGGAGTACCGCGTCCTGGCAGCCGCCGCCTCTATCGGGCCCGAGGGTCTCGATCGCGGCGAGTTGTGCTCGTTGAGCTGCTGCAGGGCCACGTAGACGCGATTGTTCGGCTTGAACGAGGACTGCGGCGGCGACGCGATCGGCGAACACTTGCCACGATCGCGATCGATTTTCGCGTCCTGCGAGCAAGGGGTTTGCTCCTTCCTGGGAAGTACCGGCGGCTTTCTAGCTTCTGGCGGCAAGTTGCCCGCTTGTAGATTTCTCGGTCTCGTGACGCGGGACTCCTGCTGACCTTGGAGCGTGCGGACACGCGCGCCCACGGCACCGTAAACGGTCTCCTGCCTCGTCTGATCCATTTTGCTTTCTCTCTTCTCGTGCCGGGTGTACCTGGACTCGGACGATTCCCCTGTAAACCTCGCGATGTCTCGCGCGGACCGAGAGCCTTCCATCGATTTACAGGCGGCATCGGCTGCTTTATCACCGGCTCGCGGTGAATCGCTCGTGAGAGTCGGCCGCCTACTTTCTCCGTCCTTATTTGGTGAGATCGGCTCCTCGGCTCGGTCGCCAAGGTTGCTCGGGCCCTTCGAGGCGGCGCAGCCTCCACCTCCTCCTCCTCCACCTCCTCCCCCTCCTGTTGCTCCACCGACTCTTCCAGCTCCTCTCGCCCTCTGGCCCGTCTCTTCTTTAACGAGCGGCCTCGTCGCGCAGCTCGCGCTTTGATCGTGATTTTGCGATCGCTTCAACGACGCTCTCCTGCAGGGGATAACCGACGACGAGGACGTCGGTGTTGTCGAGCTAGAAGCGACCGCGCCGCCGCTTACCCCAGATATCCTCCCGTCATCGGACTCGTTTCTGCTCTTTATCAAATTCGTCGGCCTGCCGCGGCAGTTCTTTTCGGATTCCCCGACGTTATCCGGCCGACTTTCCTCGCTGCTCGATTCTAATCGTCTGGATCTGAAGCTGGAGGTCAGCGGGCCCCTCTGAGGGATCCTCGAGCCGGTGGACGGACTGATGTCCCTCGATCTGCCGATCACGCTGCTGTTCGACGCGCTGAATCCGTAATCGTGCTGTTTCCCTCTGTTCTTCAATGCCAGGTACTCCTTGTAGGTCCCTCTGCTGGTGTTGACGGCTACGTTCACCTTTTCCACCTTGCGGTCGGGCTTCTTGTCCGCGCGACTGAGGTCGTCGTAACTCGACGAAGTACCGTTCAACTTGTCCCTGCCCTCGTCGATCGATCTGGACCTGGAATCCTGCCGGTACCGTCTTTGACTCTTCTGCTCGGCGCTGCTGTTCGACCGCGTCAACGGTTTCTCCCGGGAGCCCGGGAAATTCTGACTTTGCGCCTGGCTCAGCCACTCGTCCACCCTCTTCTGAACTTCCCCTTTGCGTAGCAACACCTCCGGAACTTTGCCGCGGCTGGCATCCACCGTCAACGTCAGCTGTGCGACGCGGCCCGGGGAATCGTCCTCGGTCGGCGACGCCGGAACGCGTCTCACGGATTCCTTTTGCCTCTCCCGGGACCGCTGTCTCACTTGCGTCTGCTGGTTCACTTTCAGAACGGGTTGCGGTTTCTCGCGGACCGGGGAACGCTTTGGCTGCATCCTCTGACCCGAGACTTTCGATTTGTCCTGCTGTTGCTTCTTCTGCTGATCCATCATCACCGCCTCGAAGTTCGACACGCTGATGCTACCGACGTCGCTCAAGTCCGACGACCTTCTGTAATCGAGGTCCTCGTACTCGTCCAGGATATTGTTCACCGACTGCGTGTCTATCGAGCTGATGCTCTTCGACTTGTTCCTGACCACGCTCTCGTCGCTGCTCGAGTAGCCGTGATTTTGCTGTTGCTGCTGACGATCGCGGCTCGATTGTCGTTTCGGTCGAGCCTTGGGCTTCTGGTACTTCAGCACCGCATTTTCGTAACGTTGCAGAGGATTCTCCGAACCGGTATCGACCGGTTCGTTCTTGCTCCTCCTCGTAGCGGGTGACTGTCTAACGTACCGGTGCTGGGACGATACCTTCTGCCCGAACATCGCTCCCTTTTGCAACACCGAGACTGCCCCCTCGCGCTGATCGATCTCCTGACCGATTTTCGATTGAGCTATCGAACGAAAGGTCGCGAAACTCTGCGTGCATCGCGAACCGAGACCCACGGCGACGGCTTCCTTGGTCGACTCCCTCCGCGCGACGTTCGGCCGAGCACGATGATGCTCGATGGCCGGCGCCGGGCCATCCTCGTCCACGAACGGAATGTTGTTGCCGGCGGTCAAAGTCATCAAGATTTCATCGCTCATTTTCGACGGGATCGCATTTTCGTGGATCGCGAACAGAACCGGGCACTTTGTCCTCCTGAAACAAATCGGAGCAGGCCGTTGACTAAAAAAATGACGATAGAAAGCAACAACGTTTTATCAACGGCTCGATATTTATGGCTTCGGGAAGTACGGAGAATTTGTCGGTGCCACGAGGCGCCGTCAAGACCGGCGCTTCCTTAAAACGGTCCTCCGAGCGACTTCCGGTTAGGCAGCGCCCGCAGGTTTTGCCAATGGGGAAATATCCGGTAGCTGACCGATATCCGGTTGGAATTAATTCGATTTTCGGACCTCGGGCGCATTAGGTATCGTAACGGTCCGCCATGCGCTCGTGCATCGAATCGTTAAAGACCATAACGGCCGTTTGAAATTCAATATGCCTGTCCGACAGCTGCACGGTGAATATTGACTATCGAGAAGTACATTTGCGCTTGTCATGCATATTTATTTCCCCGATAATCCGGCAAATTAATCGTCTTAACGCTCGTTCGTTATGAACGCGAATTCGACCATTCGACAAATTAGCCTGTACGATACATGGTCGAGGATAATGAACGTGCTTCGTAGGTTGAAATCATCCTCGGGACGCGTGGTCTAAATAAACAATCGTTGCGTCGATACCTGCTTTCGAGCAAACGTATCGCGGAAGCGATCGTACGTATCGTCCGAATTTCGCCACGATGTTCCTTAGCAATTAGAGCAATGGCTGGCTAACTAAGTACATGGTCCGTGATCGCAATTGCACCGATACGATCGGTGCTCGCGGTAGCGGAGCAGTCTCGAAAATTCTGCCGATAAATATTGAAGCACCGTTGCCGCTGCATCGGCGTTCCGCGGGCAAGTTTCAATTCACACGGCCGAACGAGATCACGAACGACGTAAATTGAATTAAACCGGTGCCCCTCGAAGCGTACTTCTCGCTGGCTCTAACGATTCCCACGCGGCCACGTCTCGAGAACGATCTCCTAGCTGGAATTCTACTTTTAGATCGTTCGTCGAGATACACCGCCGCCGGTGGGCCACCGCGACGCCACGCGATTCGTGCGTGGAGGATTCGTGCGGGCCCTCTCTCCTCAAATTGACCCACAATTAAGACGTTGCCGCGCGGAGTAGAAAGCGTAATCGGGGAACGCGAACACGGGCTTGTCCGGGACCGCTAAACGCCCGACAAAAGCGTTTCTTTCGCGAGACAATGCCGCGGCCGCACAATGCCCGGAACGCGATAAAAACGAATCAAAAAGCAGAGGAGATAGTAACGGTAAGAGAATGGAACGAAACAGAAGGTTCCCCGCGTAATTATCATCTTGAAAAAGACATACATTCCGCTCGCGGCTGTAGCGCGCCCCTGAATGCCGGTGCTCCACGCTCGACACCGGAGCACAAGGAATGCAGCCGCAAAAACCTATTTTTCGGATGCACTGACCCGGATCTTACCCGCTGAAACCATTATTGCGATCACGTTACGCGACGAATAACAACGCGAAATCGCGACGTTCGTTACTAATCCGATACAGCCGCGAGCCTAAGGTGCTCCTCGTTTCGAATCACGGAACATTTTGTCTACCCGCGTTGCGCTTCCTTACATTTTCCACAGAAATAAACAGTTTGCCAGCGAGGAAGCCAAGAGAATTCAGATTTTTTTCAGTAGTATGCATCGAAAGAACATCGCGAAATTATTTAAAGAAGAATGCAAACGGACTCGGAACGCGGATCGAAAATTCCGCATACGAAAATATGCAAATCGTCAAAAATCCGACTCGCGGAGTTGCATTTCCACGATTAACGGGACGGCGAATTTCAGGCGCGCGCGCGATTCGCTGACCCTAATAGCGAACAAGGATGCATCGGGGTGATTTGCCACGATTACCGTGATTATGCTGCGCCGCTCGCAAGATCCAGCGATATCGTCTCATTAACGCGGGCTTATTCATATTCCGCGCGCCCTTCCCTTTTAGAGAAACTATATTTCCATCCTTGAAACAACGATATTTCTATATTTCGTAGAATCGATCAGAATAGAGATACTTCCAGCGAGATTAATCCGCGTTGATACACCGCGTCTCGTATCGATCGAGATCTGCCGGAATCAAAGAGTCAACTCTCGGATTACCGACCACCTTTGAAAGAAAAACCTCCCGTGTCTCTGAAAACGCTAGGATCTCTAGTCGCGCGCCAGCTTCCCGTCGAATACATTTGCATAAATTTCATAGCGCCCGAACATAAAACCCCAGGTAGAGGATTCCGGGGTTTAAAAAGCTGAGATAAACTTCGGACAGGCGTAGCCACGAATAGACTCCGATCTCCTTCCTGCATCCAACGGATGAAAATCACGAGCAGTTTCGAGTTCGAGTTTCGATGATCCGAAAGACTCGAAAGCTCGATTTCTCGTTTCCTTTGGTCGTTGGCAGCCAATTACAACGTCGAGAAAAACGCTGCTCTCCGAACACCGAGCACGAGCCTATCTTTCTCCCTGCATTCTAATCGTCTGCGTTCGATCATTCGAGTCTCGATCGAGGAACGATCGAGTGGGACCACACGCGTGTGCGTAGAAAGAAGCAACGATCGCGAATGCTAATTGCACGCGTGGTCGATGCATCTTAGATCGTCGATCGTTCCTACGCCCTCGTCCCGAGTGGGCTCGGAGCATTTCTTTGCTCGTGTTACGATCTCGATCGGATCGTAACCGCGTAAAAAATATTCTTGTATATGGAAGCTACGGCCAGCTATTCCGCGAGAAATCTTTTCCCAAAGCTTTCCCCTTCGCGTGATAAATATGTTATTGTTATTGGTACACCCTGTACGTTCGCGTGTATGCGATTAAGCTACGTCGGGGAGGAACGTTATCTCGTGTTGTGTGGGTGAGCAGCAATCCGTTAGAAAGATTAATGGTTCGGTATTATCAAGCCGATATAGTGGAGTCTACCGGTTGGTTTTTCGGGGCGCGGAAAGACTTGATCTTGATTTGACGGGCCAAAAATTCGTTTATCACGGCTCGCGTGTTTTTCATCGGGCGTCGCCTTCGTCGGCGCTTTAATGCGAAAAGCGTCGAGCAACTCTGGTTGGAAGGATGCGTTTCACGACCGAGTTGTGCAAAATAAAGCGGTCTTTGTAATCGTTCGTCCGGTCGAAGATCGCGGAACGGAAACGAAGAGACGCAGGAAAAGTTCGGGGAAGAGAGAGACGGGTCAGAAACGAGATTAAAGATCTCGTCGCGCGATCAATTGGAGGGTCAAAAAGGTTTAAGCACCGTGCACAAGCCTCTCGAACGAGCTCGGTTAACGAGCATCTCTAACGCGTACGAGTGTTTTCGCGATTGATGCGTGGAACGATTATTAAGCCATTAAAAAACCGTGCCACGGTCGGAGGCCCACGCCGATCATCTCTCGCATTCCTGTCTCGTTTGATCGCCGCGTGCACGGCCCCGTTCGACGTTTCCATCGACGAATCGCGTACGAGACGCCTAAGCGGACTGGGCTGCCCTCCTCGAGACGACCCGCTGATCCTGGCACCGGTCCAGAAGCATCCGTTTAAAGGACCGTGGAAAAAAAAAAACGCTTCCTCGATAGATAGGGGTGCCTTTATTTACACCCCGTGTAATCCGGGTGGTCCGGAAGCGAATAAATCGAGCAACACCCCGGTAGCATAGTTTCTTGCACGGACGAGGCGTCGCGTCTTTCGATCCTTTTTCGGGCTCTTCTATCATTTATTTCGTAGGTATCACGCCGCAATCTTTTTGCGTTTCGCGGCGCGCGATAAATGGCACGAATCATTCGTCTCGCTCGGGTTCTCCTTGTGGATCTCCTCGAGATGAAGTGCATCGCGCGGTAAGAAAGTAGAACTCCTAAAAGGGGAGACGGTTCTCCGGAGCAGTGTTTCTCAAACTTTTCTCGTGCTCCCGGGTTACCGTTAGATCCCGAGCCTGCACATTCCGTTCCGAATTGCGAACTCGTGGACCACCGGGCTCCGCGTTATTGCCAACCCTGAACTAATTCCAGCTAATCAACGGTGCCGAATACGGTCGCGATACTTTCCCACGCGTTGCTTTAATAATATTTTACTGGACTGGAACGCTCGAATACTTTGTATCATCGAAATTAGGTGAAAGTACATAGCCTGTAGGATCCGTCACGTTAACGAAGAGTGAAATTTTCATACGCGAATTCTCAAGGAACGAAATAGGAGAGAAGACTTGCGATACAGCAGGTGTGCCATTGCGCGAGAGTAACCGATGGATTTCAATAATAAAACGAACCTCGTCTCGGTGATATTAAAACTTCGTGCCGTGACAGACGAGTAATTTCTTTTCAAACTGCTTCCGTTATCAATAGATCGGTATTACAAGTTCTTTCGTTCCTCGACGGACACTTTGTCCGCATTAATCAGCTTCGAGCGAACGAATTTCTTCGATCCCCGGATGGAAGAATTTAACGGACGATGGAAGAACGAGAATAGAATCCTTCGCTGCGATTTTACGGAAAATCTAGGAAAAACGAATTTCCTCCAACTGAGAATCACCGTTTCCGCGAAAAATCTTTCTCCCCGATGGATGTATCGCTTCTGTCCGGCAATCCGTATCGTTCGTTTCTATTCTTTCGGTCGGTGGTCCCGGCACTCGTCGAGTACCTTCTGAAAACATTCGGTGTGCCCTTTCACAACTTTCATCCACGGTCCCCGGCGTGTCCGTGAGCCGATGGGCTATTCATGGCCCTGACAGGGCTGGCCTTTGAGGTTCATGAC